CGTCATAATTCTCCCCTTATCCCACCATAAATTTAAGATTAATCACGTGTAGATCAGTACCTCTCCCAGTCACTGTCACATGGATCCAGTGCCCTGACAATATTCTCCCTGCCTCCTCCTCTTTCCAAAATTCCCTTATTTTAGTTCTTCACACTATCTCTTGAGCCACTAATACCCCTCCCAAAAGAATACCTTCCCCAGTTCTCAACCCCTGTAATCTCTGCTCCCGGACACAGCCAGAACGACTGTTCTAAAGTGAAAGGTGATGACATCACTTCCAGATCCTACTGTCCTTCTACAGCTCTTGGATTTCAAGGTGAGTAAGTTTTCATGATGGAGCCTGTATTTCCCCTCCAGCATTATCTGCCATTCCCCTATACCTAAGACACTCTGGGGTGGGGGATCACATCTCCTTGTCTTGGTGATACATATGTCTTGCTCTGTGGCTGGCTACTGGAACTCCTCCCCCAAAGTACACTCCAGGCCACGCCTCCCGGCATTATCACCAAACTTCCTCTATGCTTAGTGTCAGAAGTGTCCCTTTCAATCCTCCAACAGTTGTTTTGCCCTCCATGGTATCATCTGTTGTAGCTGCAGTTGTGTGAATGTTTTAGCTGCTAAATCTCAAACTTTACCCAGGCAACCAAGGCAAATATGTCAGTGCCTCTAGTAATTAGCACAGGACCTGGCATTTAGTGGCTATATGCCACATGGGAAAACCTATCATTGGCTTTATAGCTTGATTTGAAACCTAAATTAGTTGAACTATAAATTAATAAATATTTAAAGGACCTCTAGATGCTGGTGTGTGTGTGAAAAGAAGGGGACGCTTTTACACTGCTGGTGGGATTGCAAACTAATACAACCTTTTTGGAAGGAAGTATAGAGAATCCTCAAAGAACTTAAATTAGACCTCCAATCTGATCCTACAATCCCATTACTGGGCATCTACCGAGAAAGAAAAAAAAAATCCTTTTATCATGAGAACATTTACATTAGATTGTTTATTGTTCAATTTACAAATGAAAACAACCTAAATACCCACTGTCCCAGGAATGGAATAACAAACTGTGGTAAGTGTATACCATGGAATACTATTCAGCCATTAAAAAAGACTGAGATTTTACATCTTTCGTATTAACCTGGATGGAAGTGGAACACATTCTTCTTAGTAAAGCATCACAAGAATGGAGAAGCGAGAATCCAAGGTAATCCTTCTAATATGAAGGCAGTACAAGGTGGGGAGAGGAGAATGAGGATTGGGGAGAGGGGAGACAG